CAAGCAAATCCAGCAGTTCAGCAACTGGGCATCACGTTGCACTAGTTAAAATTCACTCACTTAAGTGTTTCTATACACTGAATGGAGAGAGAGAGCAAAAAGGAGCCAACTACAGTTCATTTTTAACATATGCAGGAGGGAAGTGGCTGGCAGCTCTCGGCAGGGCCGCGGCACGGCAGCCCCAAGCAGCTCCCAGCCCCCCTGGAGAAGCTGCGACGGGCTCCATTCAGGAAAGAGGGAGGCAGGAGCACGTTGGAACCCGAGGGCGACGCGGTTTCGGATGATGCACCCTAAAGGCTCCAACCCAGCTGCTCTTTTTGAATCAGTGGCATAAGCCACAAAATGAAGAAAAAAAAGAAAAAGAGGAAAAAATCCCTTTCTCTCCTTTTTCACCTTGCATCAATATTCTGAAAAGACTTTCTTGTTTCTGTTGTTTATCAATATGGATGATCCTTCCAGGTATGCACAGCAGTGACTAAAACACAGCTGAAATAAAAAATAAAACGGAAAAAAAAAAAAAGCACTAGTATAAAAAAAAAAAAAAAAAAAAGGATGTCCTCTGCTTTGATTCTGGGATTTCTGATTCAGTTAAGGATAATTCCTTTTGAGAAATGCCTTTACTTTTCAAGCACACATTGACATTTTCATTTCCATTTTATCAGTTCAAGCACATTACCCTTAAACTAACAGATGCTGAAAACCCTCCTCCATTTTCCATGATCCCTGGCTCCAGTGCGTTGGAGCACGCAGGCGGCAGCCTCTTCCTGCAGGATCACACGCAGCAGCGAAGGCTGCTCAGGCAAATCTGGTTTTTTCTCCCCCCACTTTCTAATTTCTGCCTTTTATATGACATAACATGCAAATCCAGCATCACCTCAAAATATTGAGACCCAAAGTCAAGAAACAGCAAGGATGGGTCATAGAATTGGAAAAGACTCCCCAAGCAGGACCCCAAAACTACCAGCCCCTCAAAAAGAGGGAGTACCAGAGAGAGATCAGGAGGACTGCAATGATTTAATATCATTCATTAGAAGGATTTTTTTTGTAAAATATAAAAAATAAATTTTTTACTTGTTTCTTTTACAAAATCCTTAAAGGATTGAGATCTATGTATGCCCTAAACAGGAGGGAAAAAAAAAAAAAAAAAAAAAAGCCTGTTGAAATACGTTACAATTCCCCCCAAGCTCCTAAAAGCAACCGAGCTGGCTTCGCTTCCTGGATCTTTAAAGCTGCTCTTTCAGTACCGCAATTATATTAATACAATGGAAGTACAAATCTGTGAATCTTCAAGACAGACACACACGCACATACAATAAATACTCTTAAAAATTTAATTCAGCCTACTTGAAATCAGAACTTGACACTGCTTGTAACTTTAAAATCTAAAAGTTAAGGCAAATTAGTATATCCTACATGTTTCTTTAATCTCTTAAATTATCTTGAAAAAAGAGCATATTGCTATAATTATATGTAGCAAAAAAAGAAATTGCTGTGCGAGAGGCTGCTTCTGCTGGGAGTCCCTGGGCAAAACAACCCCAGCTCCTGCTCGCGGGGAGCCCATCCGCGCGGGAGGAGCGAGCGGCCGCGCAGCCGGCAGCGGGAACCGGAGCCCCCGGGGTCCCTCCGGCTCTGGAGTCTCCGCGGGAGCCGCTCGGGCTCCGTCCCGCTCCGGTGCTGGTTCCCCCTGGCCCGGCCCGGCCGGGGCTGCTTTATCCAGCGCGGACACTCAGCTCTGTCTCCTGACTGCGCTGAAGTCAGCCACCAGGTCAGGATTGTATTTTTTAAAACCAGCGCATGCCAAGCTGCAGGTTTTGACATTAATATATTAAGTTCCATGGACACTGAAGCAACACAGGTGCTGACAAACCCTGCTAGCTCCTCTGCTTAAAAACTGGCAATATTTGTGAGCACCACTTGGGGTTTTGCTGTAGCAGCCACGTTAAGCCGACAGAGACAGGTGCTGGGAGAGGTGCAGAAATATTCTCATTTAACTAATCAGGGAAACCACACAGCAGCATCTGTACAGGAGGAATCACAAGGCACCAACAAAGAAAACCCATCCACGGCAGGAAGGATTCTGTGAGGCTGCCGCCTTTCATATGTTCACGCTGAAAATAAACCCAGCCAGAAGCTTAATGCAGCTTTTTAATTGATCTTCCCCACCTCACATTACACTTTAAAAGACAATGAGAATTTAACGTTACTAACTGAGGTCACCCTCAAAACGGCGGAAATCTCCATGTTGCTCCATAAAAGGAACCTTTACAGAGTAACGCTCAATTACCAGAATATTCCTGGTTGCTACAATGACACAAAATGTCTCGCAGAGTACCCGTATTCACCCTGATCCGATGAGAGATTTGTTAATGAATTCAAGGCCATTTATAACATCAGACACTGAGGAAGTTACACACACAGATCTTTAAATATAATTTCTCTCATTTTTTAGAGCTTCCTAGTCTCCCTAGCATTTTATTTGGATTTTTAATCATATTTCCCC